AAAAGAACCTGGTGTTATCTGTAATCCCAGCACTTGGGAGGCAAGAAGATTGCTGTGAGGTCAGGGCAGCCTGAACTACATAGCACAACCCTGTTTCAAAGAGGAAGAAAAAAAAATGCTGTGTCTGCTGGTGCACACCTGTAATCCCAGCATTTGGGAGGCTGAGGCAGGAGGATTGCCATGAGTTTGAGGCAAGCCTGGACTATATCGTGAGTTTAAGGCCAGCTTGAACTGCATAGTGAGACCCTGTCTCAAAATAAAAACAGTCATACAAGAGGGAAAAGAAGGAAAATATCAAATTGGTTTAGAAGGTTGTAAGAAATATGCTTTCTTCATCCCACTCCCTCAGTTTCTTGTGTTTCATTCTAGGAGGTTTAGGGCATGCATATTATGAACATGGTTTATCTTTTGATTATACTTTTCCATTATTGCTTTGGTTAAGAGTGCCCTTTCAGCTGCTTAAGAATCATGGTTGACAACCTACAGGCATGTGGATAAAATTCGCTGTTTGATTGTTTTCCTGCTCTTGTCCTGTAATTTTTTGGCTATATATATTTTTTGGCTATATAATAATTTGCCTATATACATTTTGCGGGGGTTACCAGGGATCGAACTCGGGTCCTTGCACTTGTGAGGCAGGCAGCAGAACCACTGAGCTAAGTCCCCGGCCCCGTGTGCTTATATGTTGACTGAAAAAATTTTTTCCTTGCCTTTTTGTTTTCTTTTTGCATTTGCTTGAGGCAGTTGTATTTTGGAATTTGTAGGAAGGCTTATATCTTTCTCTATGTTATAATGTTATAATGTTAACAGTGATACATTCTTGTCTGCTTCCTGTGAACATACTGTTTCTCAAATTTGGAGGGAATGATAAACTAGTATTTTCTTGATTACTTGGTTGACATAACTTTTTTTTTGACAGTATAACTCTTGATTAGACTAACTTATTAAGAGCCCTCCTAGGGAATGTGGAATTTGAAAGACACTTAGGAGAGGCCAGGGATTTGGCTCAGAGGTTCCATCACCTGCCACGCAAACAGAAGGGCCTAAGTTTGATCCCCTCCATTAAAAAAAAAGAAAACCAAACAAAACAAAGAAAAACAAAACAAAATAAATGAAATACACAAGAGTTAATAGCCCATGTTTTGCTTAGTGTGAACTTGGTATCACTGCCAGTCCACTTGAAACTAAAAGGCAAAATAGGGAGGGGAGGGGACTTCAGCAGGGGGGGTGGGATAAAATAAAATACAATTCACACAAAAAAAGGAAACTAAAAGGCATCGGGTCTGAGTTCTAGAAGTACCTTAGTATTAATTGTGTGATCTCTATAACTGAATCCCTTCTTTGCCCCGGTTCTAGTTTTGAAAGAGCAAAGAGCATAAAGTTTATTTTCATCAATTTGACAAAGATTTATCTCATTCCTATGAGATGTCACTTTCCGCTTTCATTATTTCCAATAATAATAAAAGGATATGTTATTGAATAAGTGTTACCTTTTTGTTAGTAATTACTATGCCAGCCAGTGCTGAAGGTGCACTCATAAACAAATAGTCTGCTGGTTTCCCTCATGGAACTTTATACACGTACACCATGGTGATAACCTCACTGTTGAATCACATGAAAGGTAAATTTTAGCATCTGTACTTAAAGATCAAATTATTTTTCTCACCCTTAATTCTAAGACTTTTTGTTGCCAGGAAATGGGCCAGTATAATATTGTCCAGGCCCTTGTGTAAGCATCAATTGAAGATCACAAGAAGTTGTGCTCAGGGAAAGTGTGTGCCAACAAAAGAAATAGCATGGTGCAAGAAAGATGCTGGGGTGACAGAAAAGCACTACACATAGGTGAGAACACACAAAAGTAGCAATAGCAACAGAACAACAAAAGCACAGGTAAATCAGGCTTTCAGAATTTAAAGGATATACGCCTCAGTTGGGTACCTCACACTGTTTCTGTAGGAGTGACTGACAGGGTGCTGAAGGGCTCCCAACACGGCAAGCTCATCCCAGAATCCACTCTGATCTTAATCATATTTATGACATGTAATGTGTATTTATGAATCTGTAATGAGGTGAGAATAGGGGTGACCTGAAGATAAGATCAGAGCAGGGCTGGAGATTTAGCTTAGTGGTTCCACTGCCTGCCTCGAAAGGGCAAGGACCCAAGTTTTATCCCCGGTACCCCCAAAAAAAGATCAGAGTGTTGTTGATCTCCTGAGTTTTTGTTATTTTATTTTCCCCCACCTCCCCTCTCCCAGTACTGGGAACTAAACACAGGACCTTGCACTTGCCAGTTAGGTGTGGCACCATTGAGCTAAATCCCCAGCCCTATTTTTTTTTTTCCTCTCAAGACAATGGAAGCAAGAATAACTGTGGGGAACTGTTTGGAATTGAATTGAGGGATGAAGCTCCACTATTTTCTGACTTACCTCTGAGAAGTTTTCATATTATTTGGCTCGTCCTTTTCTCTCCTACAGGATCAGGGTCCCTGGTGTTAACAAGTCACTTTCCAAAAGTCACTTTATGATAGAACTTTAGTTCTTTAACACACATTTATTTATTTATTTACCTTTTTCTTTCATATTTGTGTTAATTACTGGAGACTGAACCTGGGGCCTTTGTACTGAGCTACATCTCCAACCCTTGTTTACAATTTTTTGAGACAGGGTTTCAGTAAGATGCTAAGTTGCCCAAGCTGGATTTAAACTTGTGAATCTCCAGTTTCAGCCTTCCAGAGTGCTGGGATCATAGGTATGAACCACCATGCCCAGTTTAAAATAGATTTGATTTTAAATAAGACTGATAGAATCACACAGTAAGCTAATGGGCTATGGTTGTAGTCTTGTGGTAGAGCACTTGCTTGGCATGCAGAGGACCTGAGCTTGATCCCCGACACTGCAAAAGAGAAGAAAATGGGTGAGGGGATGGGAGGTGGACTAGTGGTTTAACTGGCTCCTTCCTGCATAATCCAACCTACAGTATAAATTTACTTCTATTTTGGGCATGTCTGAAATACCTTTACAAGAAACTTACCCACAATGTTCCTGACATATAAGTTGGCTGTACACTAGAGAGGCTCCTGGTTTTTCAGTGATATGTATAATTGAGAATAGATTAAACAGTTTCAGGTTTGAGGACAGTTTGGCACTTATATTAAACACAGCTTTGGTAAGGAAAATATTTTTAAGTCGATAGTCCCCTAACGAAATGTGATTAATATGTTGTAGGGAAAGGGGACCTTACCAGAATCCCTGCAGTGGGTGCTGGTCTCCTCTGAGTCATGACAGCACAAAACGAATTAAAGAATAAAGACTGAAAACGAGATGTAAAGAAGAGGATGAGTTTTGGGCCTGATCAGTGCTGCTCTGGGCAGAAAAGATGAAGGCACTCCAAGCTTGCCACTATTTATTGGGTTCATAGGGAATAACAGATGACTCAGAGGGCAGCCGTAATCCTAGGATGATGAGGATCTTATAATTAGAGGAAGTATCAGATGTCTCAGATGGTGGCGATAATCCTAAATTGACAAGGATCTTAATGCTGTTGAGGATCTCAGGTTGATGGGGAGTTTTATGTTGATAAGGCGGGTAAGCAAGACCATTCTGACAGCTGTAGCTGAGGTGAGTTAAACTAATAAGGAATTTGACCCTTCCCAGGTGATACCTTTCTCTTACTACTTAGTTCTCAGGGAACCAGTATGTCTTCAGCTGATGTAACCTTGCACTTGGGTGACACAGCATTGCAGGACCATTTATGTCTCAGCTGTGACCAGAGACAAAAATGGAGTTATGTTTCGGCATGTTGTAGCCGGCCTGTATGCAAGAAGACTAGGCTTAATCATAATGTAATTGTGAAATGATTTTTTTCCCCAGAATCATGTAGAATGGCTCCCAACAGAATGTTATTTTTATTGTTTCAAGAAGCTTTGCCCAGCTGAGCAGCCTCTTTATACTGACTTTTTTCCCTGTGGGGGTGGTACTAGACATTGAACCCAGCACACTGAGCCTGCCCTTTTAATTTTTTTTTTCATTTTGAGTCAGAGTCTCATTAGGTTGCTAAATTGCCCAGGCTGGGTTCAAACTCATGATCCTCATGCCTCAGCCTGCCATGTCACTGGGATTACAGGTATGCATCACTGGGCCCTGCTTATGTTGTTAACTTTTAAACAATTTTCTTATTTAAGAGACAGAATCCCGCTGTGTTACCCAGGCTAGCCTCAAACTCTTGGGCTCAAGCAGTCCTCCCACCTCAGCAACTTGAGTAGCTGAACCAGTAGGCTTGTGCCAGTATAACTGTCTTTCTGCCCTTATCCAATGCTGGACCACACTTACATAAGTATTTTACTTTGGGCATAACCTGTATTATCATTGACTAAAGTTAATATGAAACCCATGTTCCACACTGGCCTAGTGCTGGCAGTTACTTGGGGTACTATGGCTGAGTGGCTTTAAAGCTGTGTGGTGGTAAAACATTTACAGATATATGCATTCTAAAACTGAATTTGCTTTTGAACTTCTGATCGCTGCATTGATAAGCTAAAAATATTTTTCAGAATAGGCTTTGTCTTTATTATATTTTTTATTTTCTTTGTTCTGTTTTAGAGACAGAGTCTTGCTCTGATGCCCAGGGTGATCTCACACTCGCTCTCCTCCCACCACCCAGCTCCCAAGTAGCTGGGCCCACCTCAATCATAGCATTTTAGAATCAATTTCAGGAAATCAAGTTATGAATGATAAAAACTAGTGTTAGGCATTGTTTAATCAGCCTTTCTCAGTCCTTATTCATTTATTTATTAATTTTCTTAAACTCGTCCTGTGAAGTGTATGTGATTTAAAAATTATTTCTAATAAAAACAAGCATTTCTTGCTTAGATCTTCGTGTTTCTTTGGACTACTACATAATTCTCAAGGTACATTTATACAAATCTCTTAGGATTTAGATTTTTAGATAAAAGTCCCTTTATTTGCTGAGTTTGAAATACATATTTTCAACCTCTCTTTCAGATCCATCATGTTACAGAAAATGGAGGACTTTATAAAAGACCATTTAATGAAGCTTTTGAAGAAACACCCATGCTGGTTGCTGTGCTCACATATGTGGGGTATGGTGTCCTCACCCTCTTTGGATATCTTCGAGATTTCTTGAGGCACTGGAGAATTGAAAAATGTCACCATGCAACAGAAAGAGAAGAACAAAAGGTAATTGTTAGAAAATCTTTGCTTCTTTACATAGAAGCCTTTTATAGAAATCTTTATCCTTTCACACAAATGTTTTTCCGTAGAAGTATGGGTGCAGATGTTGCTCATTTAACAAACTGCCTGTTTAATGAGTGTTTGGACTGAGGCGAATAGTTCAGACTTATGCTGCCTGGACTTGTGACCTGTTTTTTGCGGGGAGGGGAACGCAGTTCTGTACACACTATGGAGCCTCAATATCTTTGTGGGGGGGAGTGCAGTATACCTTATTTATATAGCACTGTAATTTTTGCTAATTTTACTGTACAGTACTGTAGTTTTATGTTACACATTATAGTACTGTATGTAAGAGTTAGGTAAATAAAAGCAAAGTCATCAAGTTGGAGTTTTCTTTGGTCATTTCTTTGTTCTGAATATTGTAATGTACGTACTATATATAATTCCTCATTTAACAATTGATTCAATTAATGACCTGCTCGCAGGGAGGGAACTCAGTCCTTAGACAAGAAGTGTCAATATCCAAATGTTTTTAAATGAAAACATTCCACAAAGCTAAGAAGCAGGCTTACAGGAATGCGGAGAAATCAAAGCATGTACCTCAGAACTTAATGAGGTAGGCAACACTTTCCCTATTACATGGATTAGAAAGTGAAAAGTAAAAATTATATATACATATATATCTGAAGGGTGCCTGCTATCCTAACTTGTTTATGGCCACAGGAACAGGAAATACGTACAAATCCATGCTATTCCTGTCTATACTCCCTTCTGTGTAACACATATCATTTGCATTCACCTGCAGAGATTGGGTTGTTCTGATGTCTTTTCTTCTGACTACATTATCCATATAATTGTCTGATTTACAGATTAGTTCTTCTAATCAAATAAGCGTTAAAACAGTGTGACTCAGCCGTTCTGTTTACAGTAGAAAACAGTCTAGTTCTAGTAATGGAAGCAAATGATAATGTTTGTCTCTAGGGAGAGGACCTCCTTCACTTCACTTCTGTCTGGATTTTCCTTTGTGCCTTTAAAAATGCCTAATTTTATTAAAAATAAAATAAATTGCACTTGGCCTGTGAATTATGGAGTGATTATCTTCCAGTTTAGGGAATGTACCAGATTAGAGGACTTAAGATGTTAGCTTATTGTCCTTAGAGCTATCACTTTTGAAGGGTGTTAGGGGAGAGAGGCAAGCCTGGGGGTGACAAGGTCATCAGAAAGAAGCCAGTGAAGGAATGGAAGGGGACATTAAGATACGGGAAGGACCAGACACTGTGGCATATCATTGTAGTCCCAGTTATTTGGGAGACTGAGGTAGGTGATCAAAGCCAGCCTGGGTAACAGTGAAACTATGTGTGTAGGAGAATAAAGAACTTTGTCAGCAACTGAAAAAAAAAAAAAAACAAAAACCCAATATATGTATGTGTCGAGAATTCTGTCTTTTGGAAGAACTCAGAATTAGCCATCCTGCTCTTGTATCTCAGTCATTTTGCAACCCCAGCTCCATGAGACAGCTATCCTCCTCATTGCCCTGAAATACCTACTAGTTCGTTTCTTTAAGAAAATGCTAGGGACCGGGGATTTAGCTCAGTGGTTCTGCCACCTGCCTTGCAAGCACAAGGATCTGAGTTCGATCCCTGGCACCAAAAAACAAACAAACAAACAAAAAAAGAGTATTTGCTGCTGCCTGTAATCCCAGCACTTGGGAGGCTGAGGCAGGAGGATTGCCAAGAGTTCAAGGCTAGCTTGGGCTGTGTAGTGAGTTCAGGACCACTTTGAGCTACAAAGGGAGGCTCTGCCTCAAAAAAAAAAAAAAAAATAGGGCTCATGATAAAAGTTCAGGGGTGGACCACTTGCCTAGTATGCACAGGGCCCCAGGTTTGATACCCAGGACTGTACTCAGTCAACCAATTAATTTTTAAAATGCCTAAAGCTACTAAAAATCCACATTCAGAATTTAGTCAAGTAGGGAAAAACTATTTTTCTTTTTTGCTACTTGCTTCCCTTTAATTGAACAATTTTAAGTACAGTAAATGCACTCATTTTAAATGTGCTTTAACATGTATGTATTTGTATCAGTTTATAGTAGTAAAACTACCATCTGCATCCAGATACTGAACAAAAATCTTACACATACATGCCTCATTATCTCTTGAATGTTTAAATGTGAAATATCTTGTAATATTCGTATTTCTGCCTAATAAAAATGCTGTTCTCCATCTTTAAGACCCAAAGAGTTTCTATTATCATAAAACCCTTTTAGCCTTTGTTGTATATAAATGTATTTTGGATTAGAGAATTTTTTTTTACTCAATTTGGATCTTGTTAATTGGGAATTTAATGAGTTTATAATTCACTTCTGTCAGTAGCTTTTGTGCAGATTTTAACACTTCCTTATTATTTTTCTTCTGCTACTTTTTTTTTCACTTGTTTTCAATTCCAGAAATTTGTAATATATATATTCTGTATTTGTCCACAACTCAATGACAAATTGACTTCCCTAATCTACTTCCATGCAGTAATTACTGTGCTTTCCAATCAGTGCTTTGGAAATTTTCTTTAAAATTACAGTATCAGGTTTTTTGGGTTTTTTTTTTTTTGAGACAGGGTCTCACTATGTAATTGAGACTGACCTGGAACTCACTATGTAGCCCAGGCTGGTCACAGCAATCCTCCTGCCTCAGCCTACTGAGTGCTGGGATTGCAGGCGTGCGCCACCATGCCCAGCCTCAGTTTTAACATTATAAACTTGCTAGTTTCTTTTTTTTTTTTAAGGAAATCAAACTACCATTTTCCAATTTTGTCAGATTAACATTTAGAATGCCTTTACTGTACTATCCTGCCCACAGTGACAAAGCACTTTTATGGTTTAACATGAATATAATATTATCAGCAGCTAAGTTAGATAGATATTAATATACAGTCAGAAAGAGACTGGGCCCTCAAGGAAGTCAGCACCAAAAATAAAGACATCGGAATTGTGGCTGGAGGAACACCTGAAGAAGGCCATGCCTCAAGATAAAGATGCAACGATGCAACGGCCAGACCTCTATGCCTTCCTAAGGAATAAACAGCAATTTGAGATTATTAGTATTATAGCACTACCTGGTCCAGGAAGACCAGATAGGCATCAGCTGCCCAGGTGGGTGACCAGAGCATCGCTTCCAAAAGATGCCTTTGTTCTTTCCGTGTACCCTTGCTACATGACTCATTTCCCTATTGGATCAGTATTAGCTTTTTTTTTGGTACTGGGGATTGAACTTGGACACTTGTGCTTGTGAAGCAGGTGGTGGAACCACTGAGCCAAATCCCCGGCCCTATGCAACTATACTTGTGTTATGGCTTGTGTTTAGACACACCCCTACACTCACTGCCCACCTCATCCCATGAGAATGAGATGGGGTATTGCAGAGGTGGCTGGATGTAGAGTGTTCATGGTGCAGTGCTAGGCTCAAGAGCCCTAGGATTAAGAGTGTGAGTGCTACCCACCCAAAGTAGTCTGAATGAGATAAAAGGGGCAGGAAGGCCTGTTAAGGTTTCCTTTTGCTTTTGCTGTCTTCACTGCCAAGAGCTGTTGGCCCTGTGACAGTCTGCCTTGGAGCCAGCCAGTTATGGGCTGAAACCTCTATGAATTGTAAGCCAAATAAACCTTTCCCCCTTTAATTTGGGTGTTGGGCACTTTTAGCAACAAGAGAAAAGTAACTAAGACAACTTGAATCCTATAGGTTGGTTGTAGTTTGACCTACGTTGTGACTTTGCTGTATAAATGAACAACCCCGAGTGGCCATCCCATTCAGGATCCGAGGACCTCTGGAAATCCAGGAGCTATTCTCTCATTTCCCATAAAACTCTCCTAACTTCTTCCTTTGGTTCACAACTTTATTCCTTGGTGTGAGTTTTAAAATCTGTTTGTTTTTTGGTTTGGGGTGTTTGTTTGTTTTGGTTTTTGAGACAGGGTCTTACTATGTACTTCAGGCTGATCTTGAACTCACTGTGTAGCCCTGCCTGGCTTTGAACTGGCAATAATCCTCCTGCCTCAGCCTCCAAGAGCTGATATTGCAGGTGTGTACCACCATGCCCACTGTTCCTCATATTGTAGGACCACAAACTCAGCACATTTGATATCTGATAGGTCAGGAATTGTATTTCTTTTATATCAGTATTACATGGCAAAAAATAAAACTTCATTTTCACAGTACATTGAATATTTGGCATGTGTTTTGACAGTTTAAAACCATATAAACTGAAAATTTTTTATCTAGCATACAAATCTATTTTGCATTTAGGTTTATTACCCTATATGTAACAATTTTGGATTTCATGCTTTTTAACTAGTTTTAATGATTACTGTCAAACCTTTCGTACACTCAGCTCCCTACTCTGTAATTTTTCTGTTGGCTGCATGCAATAAATCATTCAGCAATATTTTCAGAGAAGGTTCCTGGTTGATATATGTACTTTCTTAATCCCTTGGTGTCTGAGAATGTCTTCATTTGCCTTTATGCAGAAATACTAAGCTAACAGTGTATATTAATTCTTGGTTCAAAAATATCTCCCCTAAAACCCTGTAGATGTTCATTGTCTTCTGGCATTTAGAATTGCAAGAGATGGCCTGCCTCGCAAGCGCAAGGACCTGAGTTCGATCCCCGGTACCACCAAAAAAAAAAGACTTTAGAATTGCAAGAGAGACTTCCACTTCCCCTTGTGTAGGTTAACTGTTTTCTCTGTCTGGATACTTCCATAATTTTTTTCTTTATCTGTGAAACTTAAAACTCACCAAGATATATCTAGATGGTGCTTTCTTTTCATTAAAATTTTAAAGATACAGTTCCTTTTTGGGGGCGGGTACCAGGGAATCAAATTCAGGACCTCAAGTTTGCCAGACACTGTTCCACTGAGCTACATTCCTGGCCCACAATTTCTCATTATTTCAGCTTTATTTGCTTTTTCCTGTTTCAGATATTCCTACTATATGTAGATTGTATCTGCTGGGCAGATGCTAC